CTGTCCAAACCATTTTCATTCATTTTTATTCATCTTGGGTAAGTGCTTTATCCTGGTCAGGATAGGTCCGTAGCCTATTCCAGGAACACTGAGAGTGAAGAGGGAATACATCCTAGATGGGATCTGAGTCCATCCCAGGGGAGAAGAGGAGGAAACCGGAGAACCGCAAGGAAACCAGTGCAGTCATGGTGTGAACATGCACAGAAACCTGAGCTCAGGATGGAACCTGGGAGCTGAGAGATGACAACGCTACCTGCTGGACCACTGGGTATGTTTTGTGATTTGATAAATCACACTTTTCAAATAATCCAACAACTGGAAATCATTTTAGTTAAAATAACACCAGCTGGAAACGGTATGTCTAAGCCAACGGTATGGCTTAGACATACCGTTTCACACGTCCACTGTCCTTTTGTCCTACTGTTTTTATGGTTGTGAGAGTTTTATAACTTTGTGCACTGGGTTATGGTGGGTTTTTATGGAGAGGAGTATGATTTACATCATTTTCATGTCATTGAATTGTAATAATTGCTTGTAAATCCTACAAATGCCAATAAAAAGGTTATATACAACAGGCTGGTTTTTAACAATTTAACCCCTCAAACTCTCTTTAAACAGCAACCTTATCGTTGTTTTATCATTTTACAGTGACTCAGACAGGGTGTGCATTATTAAATGAAGTGCCGAGCATGCACCCTATCTGCAGTAGAAACCCTTGGACAAGGTGACTGAGGGTAACTCCGTTCCAATCAAAACACGACAGCCAGAAATAGTGCAGCAAGCATGTGTCTCTGGCGCTCGGCCCAGCGTCCGGCAGCTCTGATATTACTCCACACTCGCTCACACCCCACACACACTTAGCAGAGCTGGCTGCTAAACACCCTGTACACATGCACATACTCTCACACCCACTCTGAGACCAGCCTCCATATAGATATCACTGTGTCAAATGTGATAGCGTGTGTATTTAACCATTTATGGTTACCAAGCTGTGACACGGTGTTAGTGCTACAGCAGAAATCACCTTAAGAGGCAGATGGAGTGTATTTACTGTATCCAGGCTACATCAATTACCATACTGTTGTTACAAGAGGGGTGTATAATGACATAGCACAGCACTACTGCATTCTCAATCCTGTTGATTAATTCTCTAGAACAGCAGCTCTGACAGTAGGTCTCATATGTTATCGTTTCTATAGTAACAACAATCACAGGAAGTTGTATGGAGGACGCTCCTTGTAAGTTTTCTGTGAGCAGACTTAGAAGATTTATGGAAGGAGTCTCCAGTGTCAGCGCTTTGAAACAGTCAGAGATAAAAAGCTGTAAATTTATGATGTGGGAAATTCCTCAGGACAGATGAGTCTCTGTAACATGACAAGCTGTGTTTTTTTTTTTAATCTTATCAACCTCAAGAAAGCTAAAAAAAGAAGTTGATAAGCGAACGACTGTTTATAGCTGCTATAACATAAGTGATAACAGGAAGTAAGTTATTCTGCAGAACTTCCACAACATTAAATGTAACTATAAATGGACGAAACGATGTGTTAATCTTTAACGAAATAAAAAAATTGTAATCATTGATGATTTTTTTTTCCACTGCATTAAATTCTTTCCTTTTTCATTTAAATGTAACAGACTTTCTCAGCATTATTAATTGAAAACCTTTCATTGCAGAATGTTATTGATGAATAGTTGGAGGTGGTATAAGTGGAATAAAACACCTGGGAATGTGCTGTTATTGATTATTTTCTTATAACAGCATGTCTTGAACTGATTTATTCCTTACATAATGACTTAATTGCTGCATCTTAGGCTCTTCATACACCCTTCAACAGGAGAACAAGTCTCTCAGAAAGACTCTCGCCACTTTTCCTACCACTCTTCCAATCTCTAATGAAGCAGGTCAAGAACCCAATTTACATTAATAGCACTTGAGTCACACAGATCTGTATAAGAGTCTCTATATGGAGTAGCTACAGAGAGTGTATGAGAACGCATCAGAGCATGATCATATGCTTGATTTAACAGAATAATAATTAGTTCAGTGTGACTTATACAACATTATAGCACAAAGCAAGAGCACGGCAACATGCTAAACATGAAGGAGGTTCAGACTGAAGATGTGCTGCTTTGTACTGATTTCACTTTATGATGTGAACACTAATGTCACTTTTGATGTCACCAGCTGCACATGCACTAAGTGTAAGTTTATGAGCAACGTGCTGCTAGAAATTCATTTCTGAGTCTTTTCTGATGCCTCACTTTTGCTAGGAAAAACTAAAGTTTTGGGGAAACTTTGCCAGTTATGCTGTGTTACCTCTGACATAAAAACCTGGCTAAATGCAAAAAAAAAAAAAGGCTGGGAAGAGAATTGGTCCCTCATCAGCAAGATTGTTCATATCACACCTATAGTTCCTGTTTCACATGAACCAGGAACTAAAAATCAGCCCCAGTCCTACATTTACATTTACATTTACATTTACATGAACAACATACAGAGGACACTCTTATCCTGACCTACTTACAAATTTGCTTTGTGTTGTCATACTATCAAGCTAAAACCCTGTTAGAGAGAATGTAGTACAAATATCTCCTACTTTAGTACAGGTTCCTCCTTTTTTTTTTTTTTGGCACAATCCTTGCCTGTCATAGTAGCTCAGCACTCCTTACTATATAGTGTTGTATGTGGACTTTGCATTTGTATTGTATTTATTGTGTTTTTTGTATGTATTTATTGTCTGCACTTTTGTCTCTATGTTTTCACACTTATCCGTTTGCACATTATACAATTAGCAACTACTTTTAAAGTAACTCAAATAAGCACTCTTCATAACCATGGTAAACAGAAAAGCATCCCAGAATGCCCAATACATCAAACTTTGACGTGACCTACAGTAAGTCTAGTCTTCAGCTACAGTTTGGGTGAGCCTGTTTCCGCTGTAGCCTCAGATTCCTGTTCTTGGCTGACAGGAGCGGGACCCGGTGTGGGCTCCTGCTGTTGTAGCCCATCATGCCTCAAGGTTCGACGTGTTGTGCATTCTGAGATGCTTTTCTGCTCACCATGGTTGTAAAGAGTGGCTGTTCTCCTCTGACCGCTCCCATCAACAAGGGCTGCAGAACTGCACCATTGCCAATTTTGTTCTTTATTGCTTTGCTTTGTTGTTAACAGTAAAGGTGCAATAGTCAATATTTTTCATTTCTTTCTAGTACAAATAATCTGGAAATTATGGAGAAATGATAAAAAATAATAGTTTAAGCCATTGTCTCAGAAAGAGCGTATTATGTAGCTGGAAAAATTTTACAGACGCACCCCTAATGCCGCTTCATATCTTCATAAATTATTATGAGGAGAAATTGCATGTTTATAGAGCTGTAACTTGGCTTTCAAGCACTTGAATATCCAAGCGTGTTTGAAAGTGATGTCATGACAGGCCTTGCTATTGGTGACTTTAGTCAGTGTCATAAGGTCATAAATCATTCAAATCTTATTCCACTCCACCCATTTAACTGTTATTGACTTTTTTTTTTACCCAAATCTTACCTAATGCACCTTTAATGTGATGAAACAATGCACAAATCCGAGGTTTGTTTAGAGTTCAAGAATTTGTAGATAATTGTTTTTAATTTTTTAATTGTTTTGCACCTCCTATATTTAAGCATTGCTTAACAAATTGGTTATCAAGTCATTTTCTTACCTCTGATTACAATCTTAACCTGGTTAAAACATTAACATTAACATGGGGTTAATTCTGATTGTTCACCATGATGGATTCATCAGTCTAAAAAACAGCAACTGTTACTATTGAGATGAATCGTTACTGACACTTTTTCATCATTCCATCTTAATTTTTAAGTAAAAACAGGAATAATTTATGGAACTTCTTAGATTTCTGTAATCTGTCTAATATATGCTGCCATTTTGAAAATGTAAACCACCTCAGCTGCACGATTAAAATGAATTCCTGACTGAAATTTAAATCTGAGTTAGATTAGTTTTCGATTTAAAAACTAAAACCAGGATTAAATAAATTAAACTCGAATGCAATCCTGATTATCTTTAAATTAGGCTTAAGGCTAATCCCTGATGTCCAAATGTTTTATCTGTGCACCAGTTGAGTGTGTCTGTTTGGGTTCTGATGAATCGCGGCATTTGTATGTTCCACCAAACGTAACTAATTTTATAATTTCTCATGTTGAGTCAAGGTTTACATTTTATAATAGTTCATCCCTGTTTTTAATATCATTATGTAACAATCTGATCATAATATTAGTATTGTTTTGCAGCACTATTAACCCCCCCAACACACACACACTTCCTCCCTTCCTCCCTGGATCATTATTAGCAAGATTTTGAGTGTTTGACTCCATGGTAATAGCCCACCACAGGGAGCCTAACACACACTACCCCTGAGCCACGACTCAGCTGTCATTACACCTCTCACACTCTCTCATTATTCTGTCTGACCTCAGTGTGTTTAACTTAGCACTCTATAAGGACGATAAGAACTACAACACATATTAACTTCCCACTGTTTATTCACAGTGTTATGTTTGTGTAGAAGCTGGGGGTCGAAAAAGCAAAGAAAAAAATATATTCGAGTGAAAGTTTGGGTCAAATTATTCAATTAAAAATGAAATAAAGTTAGAAAATGTCAACAATTAAATGTACTGAAGTATTAGTGAATTTTTTCTTCAACACGGTTACAGATATGCAAAAGTTTTATTCCTTTATTTTTTTTCCTTTATTAGTATGAAAGTGGTCTAAATCCAAACATACCGTCCTTGTTTGTTTTGATTTGGATGATTTTTCCATGAAATTTGGCTCATTTCTTGAAAGTAAATTAACTTTGTGAAGATATATATACATAAGCATCTTTAGACAAAGATTATTGTGGTATTCATAAAAATTGACCTGCATTTAACTGGATGTTTTAAATCTTTTTATACCACAGAGCTGTAAAAATCTCGATTCTGATTGGTCAGACTATGCCACTGGCAAGGGCAGTGGTAGCTCAGTGGTCAAGGCATTGGCCTACTGGTTAGAAGGTCATGAGTTCAAATCCCAGCACTGCTAAGTTGCTCCTACTGGGCCCTTGAGCAAGACTCTCAACCTTCAACTGCTCAGTTGTATAAATAGGAAAAAATTGAAAATGTCATGTCCTGTCACTCTGGATAAGTACATCTGCCAAATGCCATGAATGTAAATAAAATGCATTTTAAAAAATGTGTTATTCCAAAAAGAAAAACACATCGTTGATACAGTGAAGTATTCTGTAAGGAGACATTTATTTAGCATTTGTGGAAAGAGTCTACAGTGTCCGTGCTTTGTAACCGTCAGTAAATTTTCCACCACCAGTTTTGCATTTTGTTGTTTTTTTTGTTTGTTTTTTTAAGTATCTTGGTAACATGGTAACGTTTTTCCATCATATTAACTTCAAGAGAGAGAAAAAAAGAGAGACTGGTGAAGGAATGACTGTTTATAGCTCCTATAATATAAGTGATAACAGAAACTAACACGTTTCGCAGACGTTCTACAGCATTAAATGTAACAATAAATGGATAAAAAGTGTGACGTATCATTCTTTAACAACTAAAATTGTAATCGCTGGCAAATTGCTGTGGTATAGGAGGAATGAGACAGAGGAAACTAATCCACTAATCCATCCTTCATGTTTTATTCCTTATTTATTAAATACGTTAAAATGCACAAAATTTTATACTGTATATTAAATCGGTATGCTGGTAAGGAATGCTTGAGTCTTGAGTCATGATCTTTGAGATTTGCAGCAAGTACTTGGTCAATCTAAGTAAAAATATACAGGGGTTTTAAATTGAAATGTAATTGTGTAACAGTATTCAGTATAACAAGGGACACTTAACGACTTCTCATCTCTGTTTATAAGCAGAAGGAATAAAGTCGCAGCTGAAGCGCTACAGCTCAGTAACTGTAATGAACACCACGGCCCCTCGGAGGAACAACACGTTCTTGTTCCTGTTCTGCTCTGAATGTGAAAGCGCTAACCCAGATTCTGGCACTTCACTAAAGTGGCCATTTACTTCAGCTGTGGAAGAAAAATCATTCGAGCTACTGTGAGCATGCTGACAGGATCATCCATCAAGCAGCCGTTTCAGCAGGATGAGGGCCAGAGAGATGACAGGCTCTGTCTGGACACTGGCAGCACAAATCAGTCACTTTCAAGACTTTAACAAGACCACCTGCATTGATCCGCTAAAAAACACTGGTTAATGATTACAATGCAGTTAGCCTTTAACATGCTATACACATGTTAGCATAACGGAGATAGAGAATGTAGATAAGCCAGAACGGTTAGGGCTAGAAGGTAACTTTTAGTAAAGCTCACTCTGCTTTATCCAGTGTAATGTTTACCTTTAAAGGGACAGTTTCTAAAAAATGAAATGTACAAATGTAGTCAATAAACCAATACGTGTTTTTTTTTTCCACAGAAGCTACAAGGCTAAGATAAAACTACCAAAGTACTTATTTCATAAAATAGCACAAGAGGTCCATATTAAATACATTCATATTGCAGCGCTGTTGAATTCTTGATTCTGATTGGTCAGAAGGTGTTGATTAATTTTCTACAACAGCAGCTCTGACAATAGCAAATCACAGGTTTATATTTATGCGCTTGTTCAATACGTTATTGTTTCTATAGTAACAACTCATTTGCAAGGCTTGTAGATCGGACGCTCACCATAAACAGATTAAAAAAAGTGAAACATTTATAGAAGGAGTCTCCAGTGTCAGCACTTTTTACAAAGCTGTAACAAAACTTTTCCACCATGGGAATCTTTTTTTTTTTTATCTTTTTTAAGAGAAAGTCAGGGAACAGCTATTATAATATAAGTGACAACAGGAACTAACCTGCTTCACATTGGTGTTCCACAACTTTAAATGCAACTAGAAATAGATAAAAAGTACACTGTATGATTCTTTAAGGAAAAAATATATCCATCGTTAGCATATAAGAGGAATAACCACACTTATTGTTATTGAAAATAATAGACCTCAGAGTATTAACTGTAACTCCGCTTCATCACACCACCCTGTTGTTTATTATTTTCCTATAACAGCATGGCATGACGTGTTTTATTTCGTACTTAATATAGAACTGGAACTATATTATCCTACAAATCACTTCTGACATGTAATTCCGGCTTCGAACTTCAGGTCACGCCTCCTGTTAGAGTCTATTACTGGTGTGGAGTGACTCCAAACTATATAATGATGAAGAAACTTCTGCTTCGAAAAGGAGCTATGATGTGCAGTTGAGGGCAAAAGTTTGCACACCCTTACTTTGAAATGATGGCACCAACAAAATATTTAATATGAGTTTAGTTGTACAGCTGTTCCTTCATCATCATTTACCAAATAATATGTAAAAAAAGTGGTAAAGCACAAGCTATGGCGGTGATTTTAACAGCATGTCTGTGACAAAAAATGACTGTACTTTTCTCAAATGGCTTAAATGTGTAAATGGCCATTTGTGTGGCGGCCTGGGAAAACAGTTCACATGGTCACAATTTGACAAAAAAAACAGAACTTTTCCTGAACTCAACTGAAATATTTATCTCAATCATAGGTAACTTTATTGCATTAATACATCCCACAAAAGAAAGAAAAAAGTGTAAGTTGATATAAATACTGAACTAATCAAAAATGTTTTGAATTGCCGAATTTTGAATCTCTGCATTTTTACTTTCTCTATTCACTTGTGTATTTATGGTGTGTGTGTGTGTGTGTGTGTGTCATCTCTGAATGATGATATTCACTGTTGGTCTCCATAAACACTTTTATATCTTTTTTATGTCCTTCTCCAGCTCTCTAAAAGGTCACTATTTTTAGGTTTCAGGTCTTTTGAGAGCTGTTTTCTGATTCCCATTAACTCTTAACAGTTTGCTCAGAACAATCTGTCTGAGAGTTTGAGCCTGGTTGAGCTTTCAATGGCTTAAATAAAACACAGCAAAAAGCATTGGATGCATTTAACTCATTAGCTTGCTTAATGATGCTCATTTAAACCAAAGAACTAGAGCTTGTCAACAGAAAGTTTAGATCTTGCTAATAAAGATATCTGCTGGCTCAATACATCACTGTTATATTTAGACTTTCTTGAGTTTAAGGAGGATAACAGTGATACATTAACACAGAATTCTGTTCTGTTCTGTAGATAGACACTAACGCTGCATTAGTCTGAAGGTCGTAACTCGTAATATCCGTCCTTTGACCAGGAATAAAACGAAACAAAAAGAAAATGCCCCCTCAACTTGGAATTCCTACTGAGGATTTCCTCAGAGTCCCTCCAAGTCACATTCCACATCCAAGGTAAGTCAAATGCAGCAATATTCTCACCCAGAATCCAATAGGGGGTGCAAACTTTTGCACACAACAGTACTTTTGTCCATTTTTATATAGAACAGTGTGTCATACAGTCTCAGAAACCAACTTGGTGAAGTTTAAAGTGCGTGTTGATCTGAAGAAGCAAATACCTCTTGGCTGATCGACTACACTCAGAAGATTGTGTCAGTTTCTTTTTCTCTCTCAACATCCATCCCTTTTTACGGAGTGCTTTTGGTTTAACACAGAAATGTGAGATTGGACAGAAACAGAACTGACAAAGAAACAGAAAAAAACTGTTTGCAAACACCAGACGTCTGCTCTGTGGTGTCCCGCGACTTAAGATCCGCTCTCATCAAAATGCAATGTGCTAATTTGCTTGGCCGACCTTTCAGGCCTGCCGAGAGAGATGATCATCGCAGACCCATTTGCCGGGCTCCATCGGATCCGAATGTGTAATCATTCCACAATATCTGCATAAGATGACAGCTTTTTAATATATTCATGGTGCAGAGCCTATTCAAACATTGTTGGCTTTTATATCTCTCTCTCTTTCTCACTCTCTTTCTGTCTCTCCGGGGAGAGGAAACCATCCAGACAGAATAGCCTTGTTTTGTTCTGCCATGATGCATCCAGACCCACCTCACCACCGCGCCTCTGTCCTTTCTGCCTCTTCTGCTACAAATGTCATTTATTTAATTTGGCTCATAAATCAATTTGGGTATAGTGGTGGTGATGGGCTTGGTGTGTGTGTGTGTGTGTGTGTGTGTGTGTAGGGGGCTTACAGGGTTCAGCCTGACAGCTGTTTCACCTCTAACTAGCCAGTACACAGGATGAAGGCCAACAAAATAGAGATCTAACCTACAGCATCAGTATCATAAATGCATAAGCGCATATCATGATCCTATTAAAGGAAAACTCCATCGTGTTTCAATCTAACCTCTATTTACATAATCTGTATCATATTTACTTCAGACACACTTACAATGGAAGTCTAAGGGCAGTTGTTGGGGCACATGTTTACAACATGCAACTATTATAACACAAATTCTAAACTCTCTATTTATTAACCTACATGCAGCGTCTGACTAGACATGCAGCTGATAGAGACTAGATTGGAGAGAAACAGAATATTCCTTTAATACTGTATCTATACAACACAATAAACAAAAGCAGGTAGATAAACAACAGACTAAAAAATCTGAAAATTTCTTAAACTAAGTTGATGCACATCAGAGTAGAACGACTTAATAATTTACAGATATGAGTGAGATGGAAACCACATCACATAACAGAAACCACAGATTACTCAAAAACTCCTCCATTATGATAACTGATAAGAGCTCCACTCAAGCCAGAGAATACTCTTGCTTCCTTAATGTTTTAAAATATGCAGAAGGAGAGAAAATGATAGAAACATAAATGTATTTTCTCGTAACGCAAACCTAAAATAAAAAGCATCTAACCATGTAGATCCACCAGCCTTCAACATATGTCTGTTCCACTAATAATGCAATACACACAATGAATCTTTTAGTAAAGTCATGTGTAAACGTTTTCTTCGGCCAAGCCTAACTAAAAATTCCCGTCAGATTTATAAAAGTTTCAGTAACGCTGATTTCCTTCATCCTTACGTGTCTATGATCATAACTGCCAGTCGGCTGTCCATTACCAAGCACTTTCACAGCACAGCTTATTTGTGTTTAGCCCCGCCCACA